CTTCTGTCAGCTGAATTGCATTTTGGGGAGCAATTAAGTATTCAACACAATGGGTGTATTTAACAGCTTCTCCCCTGTGTGTGTGTGTGTGTGGTGTGTGTGTGTGTGTGTGTGTGTCTGTCTAAAGTTCCCCTGAAAAAAAAGAAAATTACCGAAGCAGCTGAGTCAAGCTACCTATATAGAACACAAGACAAAGCTAAGGAGAGTGAATCAGGCACCAGTTGAAAGCTTCGCTGTGTCAGTTGCTCAGAGATGCAGTGAGCACAACTATGTTTTCTGCAAGATCCCTTGATGCCGCACTCCAAAGTAGCAGCAAAGGTGTTAAAGCCTGGATTGGAAAAACAGAGATCTCGGGGATGACACAGCTCTGAGTGGGCAAACCCTGACTCTGAATTATGCATCATTCCGAGAGCAAATGAGTCCTCTCTACCTTGGACTGGTGGGCTGGGATTTGGACAACAGCATCCTGCAGAGCTTTGCTCAGATGTGATTCATTTCACAGCAGAATTTAGAAATAATGCTCTAGACTCCAGTAATTGGAGGCTTCAGGATGATTTGGTTAAACCCCTGTTCTGTTTGCTATTGCTGTATAACAATCCATCCCATACTTAGTAGTGAAAAATAACAATTTTCATGCCTCTAAATCCTTTTGGCTAGCAATTCAATAAAGGCGTAGAGGATATAGTTTCTTTACATGGTGATGTCTAGCCCTTCTACTGGGAAAACTACCCTGAGAGCTAGACAATCTATTTCCAAATATGATTTATTCACTCGAGTCTCTGGGTGTTGGTGCTGGCTTCTGGCTGGGACGTTGGCTGAATGTGTCAACCTGAGCATTAGTGTGCCATTCTCCTAGAGGGCTTGATCTCCTCTTAGGCATGGAAACTTCAGGGCTCCTTTCAGAGTGGCTTGGAGCTTTAAATGCAGGTGTTTTTGCTGAGCAAGGAAGATGCTCTATTGTCTTTTTTTTTTTTTTTTTTGACAGGCAGAGTGGATAGTGAGAGAGAGAGACAGAGAGAAAGGTCTTCCTTTGCGGTTGATTCACCCTCCAATGGCCACCGCAGCCGGCGCGCCGCGCTGATCCGATGGCAAGAGCCTGGTCTCCCATGGGGTGCAGGGCCCAAGCACTTGGGCCATCCTCCACTGCCTTCCTGGGCCACAGCAGAGAGCTGGCCTGGAAGAGGGGCAACCGGGACAGAATCTGGCGCCCCGACCAGGACTAGAACCCGGTGTGCCGGCGCCGCAAGGCGGAGGATTAGCCTAGTGAGCCGGGGCGCCGTCCCTCTATTGTCTTTTAAGACCTAAACTCAGAAGTCACAATGCCACTGCTGCCATACTTGATTCATCAAAGCAATCACACACCTGCCAAAATTCCAGGGGAAGGCACTTGGTGCCATTTCTTAAAGAGTAGTTAGTAAGGCTATGTAGAAGAGCAGGTGGGATGTGAGATGTTATTGTTCAAGTAGAACAGGATTTAGGAATGAGTGTTAGAATCCTCCTGGAGAGTCACATCTACCAGTTTCTCAAGTTCACACTGTGTCCAGTAAAGTGGACCAGAGAGCTTTTGTTTCATGACTATGGAGAGTGCATTTATCCTCTCCTCTCATAATGGAGACATTAGAACATGAGCCACTGAACTATGAGGTAGTTTGTTGCTTATGACAGACTATATAGCATATACAATCAATACAGTGTTCAACCTAATTTTTGTGTATCTAGAAAATAACCACTAGAATGTATATTTAAATATTAAATATTGATACACCCTTTTGTGTATATGTTTATGTATATGTAGAAAAATCTATAAGCAAATATAGCAAAAGATGTGCAACACCTTTTACTAGAAGGATATAAATATTAGTTGAAATATATAATAGAAGACCCCCTAGTGAAGACATAACAAATTTTTATAGATTAAAGTTTTAATATGGTCAACATATTGATTTTCCTCAAACTGGTCTTTAAATTCAATATGTTCCTATCAAAATCTCCATAGTGTGTTTTGTTTGTCTGGTTCCTGTTTTGTCTCATTTTGCATAGGTAATAAAAATTCTTTTTGCTTAAGTTAGTCACTGGGTTTCTGTTACTTGCCACTGAACAATACTAAGTCAAAAAATGAGTTAATTTATGATCTGTTCTCCTTTTCCTCAACTCCTGTGAATGGGGATGGTATTTTGATGCAGATACCAATAGCAGGTGAAGAATCACATATGGGATTTTTCATTTTCATTCCTCTAGGCAAGGAGTGATCAAGAGACAAAAAACAAGGTCTTAGGGGTGGGCATTGTGGTGCAACAGGTTAAGTAGCTGCTTGCAATGTCTATATCATATGTGGGTGTGCCAGTTTGAGTCCTGGCTCTTCTGTTTCTGATTCGGTTTCCAGATTATGCATATGTGAAACAGTAGGTAATGGCCTGAGTACTCGGGTTCCTCCCACACACATGGGAGACACGTACTGAGTTCCTGACTACTGGCTTTGGCCTGGCCCAGGTCCAGAAGCGGGAGGAATTTTTAAAGTGAACCAGTCAATGGAAGATAGATTTGTCTCTCCCTTGTTTTCTGTCTCTTTGCTTTTCAAATGAATGAATAAATGAATCATTCTTTTTTTTTTAAATTCGCCATTTTCTTTTTTTTCTTAAATTTTTTTATTTTTATTTTTTTATTTTTGACAGGCAGAGTGGACAGTGAGAGAGACAGAGAGAAAGGTCTTCCTTTGCCGTTGGTTCACCCTCCAATGGCCGCCGTGCCCGGCGTGCTGCAGCTGGCGCACTGCGCTGATCCGAAGGCAGGAGCCAGGTACTTATCCTGGTCTCCCATTGGGTGCAGGGCCCAAGGACTTGGGCCATCCTCCACTGCACTCCCTGGCCACAGCAGAGAGCTGGCCTGGAAGAGGGGCAACCGGGACAGAATCTGGCACCCTGACCGGGACTAGAACCCAGTGTGCCGGCGCCGCAAGGCGGAGGATTAGCCTAGTGAGCCGCGGCGCCGGCTGAATGAATCATTCTTAAAAAAGGAAAACAAATTTCTTGGAGCAGGTGTTTAGTCTAGTGACTAAGACCTTCTTGTCCCACACTGGAATGCCTGTTTTCAATTCCCAGCCCTGGCTCTGAACCCCAACATCCTACTGATGCAGCTACTGGGAGACAGTGACTATGGCTCAAATAATTACAGTCCTAATCCTTATGTGGGAGACCTGAATGGATTTTCAGATTCCTGGCTCTAGCTCTGGTCCAACCCTGGCTGAGGCAGACATGTGGGGAGTGAACCAGCAGATGAGAGCACTTTCTGGTTGTCTGTCCCACTGTCTCTTTGTCTGCTTCTCACATAAATAATAAAGAAAACAATGACCCTCCCCCCCCCCCAGAAAAAAAACCCAAGGTTTCAAGGACTCCGGAAGTTTCCATCATCATCTCTAAGGTTGCTAGCAAGGTAATTAACATCTTCAAGATGATGTTTTCTAAATCACAATTTTTCTCTAATTTTTTATTTATATAAACAGAACAGATTTCATATATAATGATACTTCCCAGCCTTCTTCCCCTTCCTTTATTTCTTCTAATTTTTGCAGTAACATACTTTCTTTTTTTTCAACTTTTATTTAATAAATATAAATTTCCAAAGTACAACTTTTGGATTACAGTGGCTTTCCCCCCAATAACCTCCCTATCACCTGCAACCATCCCATCTCCCACTCCCTCTCCCATCCAATCCTCTGTCACTGTTCATTTTCAGTTACCTTTGTATACAGAAGATCAACTTAGTATATACTAAGCAAAGATTTCAACAGTTTGCACCCACACAGATACACAAAGTATAAAGTACTGTATGAGTAGTAGTTTTATTGCTAATTTGCACAGTACAATACATTAAGGACAGAGATCCTATATGGGGAGTAAGTGCACAGTGTCTCCCATTGTTGATTTAACAGTTGACACTCTTATTTATGATGTCAGTAATCACCCAAGGCTCTTATCATGAGCTGCCAGGCTATGGAAGCCTCTTGAGTTCATCAACTCCTATCTTATTTAGAAAAGACCATAGTCAAAGTGGAAGTTCTCTTTTCCCTTCAGAGAAAGGTACCTCCTTCTTTGATGGCCCATTCTTTCCACTGGGATCTCACTCACAGAGATCTTTCATTCAGGTCATTTTTTGCTAGAGTGTCTTGGCTTTCCATGCCTGAAAAACTCTCATGGGCTTTTTAGCCAGATCTGAATGCCTTAAGGGCTGATTCCGAGGCCAGAGTACTGTTTAGGACATCTGCCATTGTATGAGTCTGCTGTGTATCCTGCTTCCCATGTTGGATCATTCTCTCCTTTTTTTTTTTTAGCTTTGAATGATTAATGATTTTAAAACAAATAAAAGTCCATTTAGTTTTAAAAAAAGGGAAATTCTAAGTAATATTGCTTTTAGGAGCTTTTACGGTGGTGGATGAGTTGTTCTTAACGTTATCTACCATTATAAGACAGATAACCACAATGAATAAAGATGAACACATAAGTTCTTGGATAAAATAGGTAAAACACATATAAAGGTTTTCCTTGAGACAAGAGAACTGAGCATTCAGCCCTTTCCCTCTTCACATGCAAAAATTTAAAAAGAAATCACAATCAGAAAGCAGAATCTCAATAACATATCCATGGGAAAGATGTGAAGCTGGCTGTTAGGCTTAAAAATTGAAAGGACTTAATGCCTGTGTAACCCATTAGTCAAATGTGAAGACAGAGTTAAGTAGGTCACCCATTTTATGGGATTGTTTTCAGGCAAAGTACAGATCCTGCCAGTAGGCAAGATTTATCTTAAACAAAATGAAATAAAAGTTTTTGCTGGATGTCTGTTTCAAGTGAGAAACTGAGAAGGAGGTGACCAATTCTGAAAGATTATAACACTTAGAAGTCAAAAATAATGGAGTATGCTTCTGTTGAGCAATCAATATGTAAAATTCCCAACAGCTACAAAGTCACAGATACACTGACCACAAACAAGGTACTGGAGACTATCAGTGACATAGATTAAGAAATCAATTTGTTAATCTTATAATTAAAGCTACAGAATTCTATGAGTGACTGAAAGTAACATGTTAATAGGTTCATACATTAAAGAATCAATCAAAGGAAAACTTCGGGAACAAGGTCAGTAGTCCAACAGTCTAAGGCTGTCAAATAAAGGACTACACACTCATATAACAGGTATTATGCAGTAGTTCACAAGGCATTCTTGAATATCCAATGAAAGGGAAACATTATATATAGTAAAATGAAAAAGGATAAATTATAAAAGTGGTTTCCTGTATGATCTCCACTTGGGGAAAATAAGTGCAAAATAAAAAGACCAGGAGGACACATAAGAAATTATTTAAAAAGTTGCTTCTATCAGAATTTCATGACTTCACAATTTTTTCTTTTTTGAATAAACAGGAGATATAGGGAAATTGTTATTCTAAAAAATCAATCAGTACATTCCCATTTCTCTGCCCCAGTTGTTTTTATAACACACAAAATAAAGTCGAAATATAATTGGTGCCATTAAGCAACTGCATTAACAATTATTTTTCTTTTAGTTATCAACAGCTTATTTAAATTTAGTTTCTTTATAGTTTTCGCCAATTCATGCAAAGAGAATTGTATCTTTAAAATCATATGACAGAAATTTTTATCCAAGGTTGTAGTCTTCCATGCTTTCTTCTTCATCTATCAAAGTCTAAAAAATGAACTTCATATGCTTGATTCCATAAGTTTTGAAGAAAACCATGATAATGAGTGCCCATAATCCCAGAATAAAACCTCCAGGAGGATGCCAATCTTTCAACTTTGGTTTCTGGTGTATTATCTGAGCTACAGGAAGTTGTTCAGCATATTTAAGAGGTTCCATTAGCTCTTCATCCATTAGGTCTTCCTTAAAGCTGCTCTCCATGATTTCTGAATCCAGTTGCAAACTAATGGTCTCTGTTGTAATCTCCACTTTCCGTACACTTCCAAAGAAATCAGTTATCAGGACATTTTTAGGATCCCTCTGGAAAAGATCAATGCGATGTCCAGGAGTAGATACACACAGACTTTTAGGACATACCTGGAAAAGGTCATTCATATTAGTTTGACTAGCTGGATTAATTTCTTCCAAAAATTCCAAGACATAAAATGTGTATCTATGCATAAGATGAACTCCAATTGCAGGATCAGGTTGATGCGAGAGAGAATCTTCTCCCACTTGACTACTAGCCAGAGCCATTATGTTAGGAGAATAAAATCGCTCATACATGGATGCTCCTTGACAAGTGTCAATAATAAACAGTAGTTCATTGTAGCGTCTTTTCTGCCACATTTGTTCAAAAGCATCTGCAAGTTCTATGTTGGTAATTTCTTCAGAATCTTGAAATTTCAAGAAACCATTTCCACCATGTCCTGTCATATAAATAAGAATATTGCTTCTATCATCAGAAAGAAGGCGTTTTGACCGAGGAGTACTAGGTGGGATCCTCCCAGTTAATACCCGTAAAAAATTCTCCACTGTTACCTCATAGCTTCTATAATCCACTTCCACATCATCTCCATACACATTTAGCTCCATATTTTTGTGACTAAACACAGTAGCTGGTTTCGGGTTTCTAGGGTTGCATGCCATATCATCTGTCAGGAATACCTAGTCTTTTGACACTTCTATAAACAGAAAGAGTATTTGCAACATGCCGATAATTAAACCAGAATCGAGATGTACACACCAAAACAGCCCAGTTGTTTGTATGGCCACTTCTAAAGAATTGTTCTGCTTGATCCTCGATCTGACTAGCGGCCAGGCAGCCGAAGGACAAGAGCAACAACACCGCCAAGAGAGCCGCAGGCTGGCGGATACAGTAGGCGGCGGCCATGATTGTCCCATTCTCTCCTTTTTAATTCTATCAGTTAGTATTAGCAGACACTTCGTCTTGTTTATGTTATCCCTTTGACACTTAATCTTATCATTAGTAACATACTTTCGATTTACTTGATAATCTTAAATTTAATCTTCCACTAAATAAAGAATCCAACAAGTAGAAAGCAGAAAGAACACTATTGAACAGTAGTATAGACAAAGATTACAAACGTTAATCAAATCTCAAGATGACAATTTCACTCATATACAATAAATTTTTTGGTACTCTATTTATCAGCTATACATCAAACAAAACATGATATTTATCTTTTTGGAATTGCTTTACTTCACTTAGCATAATGATCTGCAGTTGCATTCATTTTGTTGCAAAGGACAGGATTTCATTCTTTCTTATGGCTGAGTAGTACTCCATTTTGTAAATGTACTATATTTTCTTTAGCTATCGGTTGGTGGATATTCTGGGTAGATATCATATCTTAGCTATTGTGAATTGATATTCAGTAAACATGGGGGTACAGATAACTTTTTCATATGCTGATTTGATATCCTTTGGGTAAACTTGCAGGAGGTTGACTCATATGGTAGATCAATTTTCATATTTCTGATGAATCTCCATTCTGTCTTCCACAATGCTTGTGCCAGATTATATTCCTGCAAACTATGCATCAGGGTACCTTTTCTCAAAATCCTTGTCAGCATTTGTTACTTTTGGATTTTTGAATGATAGCCTTTTTAACAGAGGTGAGGTGATACCTCATTTTGGTTTTTATTTGTAATTCCCTAATAGCTAGTGTTTATGAACATCTTTTCATGGGTCTATTTGCCATTTGTATTTAACCCTTTGAAAAATGCCTGTTCATATCCTTAGCCAATTTTCTTAACTGGATTGTTTGTTTTGTTGTTGTCAAGTTTCTTGAGCTCCTTATACATCTTGGATATTAATCCCTTATCAGTCGCATGGTCTGCAAATACTTTATCCCTTTGTGTCAGTTGCCTGTTTACTTTGTTGAGTGTTTACTTTGCAATGCAGAAACTTCATAGCTTCATGTAATCCCATTTTTCTACTTTTGCTTTTATTGCTTGTGTTTCTGGGGTCTTATCCAAGAAACCCTCGCCTACGCCAATGTCTATGCACAACATTTTCTTTTTTTTTCTTTTTTATTATATTCTATGCACAGCATTTTCATCACATGTATTTTCCATAAACTTTTTAAAGGTCTTGTATATATAAAAAACTACAAAGCATTTTTGAGAGAAATTAAACAAGACACATATAAATGCAAAGACATTCTGTGTTCAGGGGCTGATAGACTTCATATTATTATTATTATTTTTTTTGACAGGCAGAGTGGACAGTGAGAGAGAGAGACAGAGAGAAAGGTTTTCCTTTGCCATTGGTTCACCCTCCAATGGCCGCCGCAGCCGGTGCGCTGTGGCCGGCGCGCCGCGCTGATCCGATGGCAGGAGCCAGGTACTTATCCTGGTGTCCCATGGGGTTCAGGGCCCAAGTACTTGGGCCATCCTCCACTGCATTCCCAGGCCACAGCAGAGAGCTGGCCTGGAAGAGGAGCAACCGGGACAGAATCTGGCGCCCTGATCAGAACTAGAACCCGGTGTGCCGGCGTTGCAAGGTGGAGGATTAGCCTAGTGAGCCATGGCACCAGCTGACTTCATATTATTTTAATGTCAATATTACCCCGGAAGATCCATATATTTAATGAAATACCTATTAAAATTTCAATGGTATTTTTTTACAGATATAAATAAATCCTAAAGTTTGTAAATAACCAGAGTAATCTTGAGAAAGTCCTTGAATAGCCAAAGAATAATGAATAGCTAAAACAATCTTAAAGCAGAAGAATTTGAAGATGTCATACTTCTTAATTTAAAAATATATATTTAAAGCTAAAGTCTATGGTTTGACTATGCTTTCTCCACACTAAAATTCATGTTAAGACTTGGACTCCACTGTGACAGGTGTTAACAGGTCGGGGGGAGGGGCTTTAAGAGAGTAATGTTTTTCTCATGAGGCTAGATTTGTTCTCTTGAGAGGATTTTAATGAAGTGATTTGCTTCTTTTTCTCCTCTCTTCCTCTCTTGCCATGTGGTCTTTTCCTTAGTTGCCTATATAACCCTCTGGTGTGAGGCTCTCACCAGAAGCCAGACCTTCAGAACAATAAACCAAAATAAATCCCTTTTCTTGATAAATTAACCAGTCTCAGGTATTCTGATAAAACAGCAGAAAATGGATTAAGATAGTATAATCATCAAATAATTTTGGTATTGACATACAGACAGATCAACAGAACAGAATGGAAAGCCCAGAAATAAATGTACACATATGGTCAACTTATCTATAATAATATCGTAAAGAATGCAAAATTGGAAAAGAATAATTTATTGAGCAAATTGTATTGGGAGAACTAGATATCCACATGCAAAAGAATAAAATTAGACCCTTATACTATACACAAAAATCAACTCAAAATGGTTGAACACTGAAATATAAGACCTGAAACAATAAAACCCTGGAAGAAAACATATGGGAAATGCTTTCTGATAATGATCTTGGCAATGACTTCAGGGATATGACACCAAGTTTGCAAACAACAAAAGCAAAAATAGACAAATGGGACTACATAAAAGTACAAAGCTGCATGACAAAGGAAGCAATAAACTGAAAAGGCAATCACATGGTGGGAGAAATAGCTGCAGACTACTGGGATTAGCCTGAAATACTTATACATTTTTATGGGCAGCATTTCAACACATGTATATACAGCATAAAGTGATTAAATCAGGAAATGAACACGTAAGAAATTCTACTACCTTGTCTTTTCTTTATATTTGGAGCCTATCTTCCCCCTGCTTCTAATTCTTTAGACAGTCTCAGTACTCAGGATATACCTTCTTTCTTTTCCCTCTCCCCTTACCCTTTCCAGCTTATAGTAATCAGTATTCTAAGTTCAAACTGACTTTATTTCCCCAAATTCCACATATGAGTGAGGATATGGATTATTTCTATTTATGTGATTGGCTTATTTCATTAAATGTAACGTTCTTCATTTTGCTACAAATTTCAGGATTTAACCTGTTTTTTATAGCTGAATAACATTCCATTATATATACAACATAAATAAATAAAAAATATATATGCATATAAATATAAAATATAAATTTGTCTGTTAATAATAAAAAAATAGATCTCCTGATTAAAAATGGGTAAAAGAATGACATTTTTCCAAAGAACACATGCAAATAGCCAATGCAAAGACACCTGGCATCACTTAAAATCAGGGAAATGCAAATCAAAACATAATGAACTATAACCTTTTACCTGTTATGATGGCTAATAAAAATAGATATGTATTGAGAGGATTTAGAGATGTTGGAATCCTTACACACTGTTGGGGGGATCTGTAATTGTGCATTTGCTGTGGAAACATTATTGAATTTCTCCATAAGATGATCCAACAATCACTACTAGACATAAAATCCAAAAAGTTAAATTCACAATCTCATAAGATACTAGCATTTCTATGTTCATACATAATAGTTGAGATAGAGTAGAAATTTAAATGTATTGATGGATGAATAAATAAAGAAAATGCTGTATATACATACAATGGAATAGTATTCAACCTTTAAAAAGAAATAAGTATTGACATATGCAACTATATGAATGAATCTTGAAAATGCTATACTTGGTGGAACAAGTCAGCCACAGAAGGACAAATACTGTTGAATCTACCTATATGAAGTTTTGGAAATAGTCAAAACTCAAAGAAGCAAAAAGTAGAAAGCTGGTTGCCCAGGGTTGGATGGAGGATTGGTAGGCAGTCAGTAGTCATCAAGTTTCAGTCTAACAAGGTGATGAGTTTTAGATATTTGTTGTGCAACATTGTATGGTTGCTGGCACTTTACTGTACACTTTACAATTTGTAAAGAGGGTAGAACTCATGATATGTTTTCTCATCACAACAAAACAAGAATATTCTTTTTTATTTATTTTATTTTATTTTTTTTGACAGGTAGAGTTAGACAATGAGAGAGAGACAGAGAAAAAAGGTCTTCCTTCCAAAGGTTCACCCCCCAAATGGCCGCTACTGCTGGTGTGCTGAGTTGATCCAAAGCCAGGAGCCAGGTGCTTCTCCCGGTCTCCCATGAGGGTGCAGGGCCCAAGCACTTGGGCCATCTTCCACTTCACTCCCTGGCCACAGCAGAGAGCTGGACTGGAAGAGGAGCAACCGGGACAGAATCCAGGGCCCCAACCAGGACTAGAACCTGGGGTGCCGGCGCTGCAGGCGGAGGATTAGCCTAGTGAGCCGCGGTGCCGGCCAAGAATATTCTTTTTTAAAAAACAGATATTTTTTTTTTGTGGGTAGGGACTGAGCAATGTTTTTGCTGTTACCCAGTCCAAGTATATCCCAGTGTATGAACTTCAACAGTTGTTTTTTATTTATTTATTTATTTTTTGACAGGCAGAGTGGATAGTGAGAGAGAGAGACAGAGAGAAAGGTCTTCCTTTGCCGTTGGTTCACCCTCCAACGGCTGCCGTGGCCAGCGCGCTGCGCTGATCCGAAGGCAGGAGCCAGGTACTTATCCTGGTCTCCCATGGGGTGCAGGGCGCAAGCACTTGGGCCATCCTCCACTGTACTCCCTGGCCACAGCAGAGAGCTGGCCTGGAAGAGGGGCAACCGGGACAGAATCCGGCGCCCCAACTGGGACTAGAACCCGGTGTGCCGGCGCCGCAAGGCAGAGGATTAGCCTAGTGAGCCGTGGCGCCGGCCGAACTTCAACAGTTGTAAAGGGACAAGATCCATAGCTTCTCCAACAGAAAAGTTTACAAATGATTAATGAGAAGAGACAGAGAGAATGATTGATTGATTTAATACCATTTTATTGGGAATAGACTGAATTTTAGACATGAGACTAGAAAAGACAGGCAATGTGTTAGAGATCCAGTGGTGAATGTGATTGAAAGGAAGACAAACAG